GTATCACAGTGATTTACACTGTGACAAAAACCTCTTACTTTTCCTTCTGCTTTTTTAGACTCTATACTGATCACAGCGCTGTCTCAGTGTAATATCTCCAGCTGCATATAATGAATTTACAAACAAAAAATTGCTGTTTTTGATTTCCACTTATTTATTTCCACTTTTACTAACTACACTACGCATCAAATAATACACAGACAAGGGGTCGGCAGATTGATCTGATATCAATAGTATTGATACTTTACTTTCATCCTTTCCTTTTCCTTTGTCTGGTCTCCTCATGCAGGCACGCTTTGCCCAGCTCCTGGACATGCCGAGGAAGGGCAAAGCACAACATGTTGTTCTGTGTTTAGTTGCACCATGCTCACATGACTCTGTGCCACTGAGCAGTGACATGCTGCAGCGACAGAAAGAGACATCATTTACACCTGTAAATGAAAATGGTACATGTTGGAAGGATTTTCTCTACTGTGGCAACAGCACCATCTTATATAAAGTCATGAAAGACCATGAGTAGGAGCAGAACGAAAATGCTGTAGTGATGACAGACTTACTGTACTTGGCAGAAAAAAAATGAACGGTGGCTCAGAATTAAACAAACACTTTTTGAAGCTTAATTTACACCAAACATTTAACAGACAGCAAAATCATTTCCAACACCCCGAAGGACAGCAAGGAGATGCTTTCCAGGGATACATTGACGGGTGCCTTAATACTGTAAACCTGAAGAAGGCTGAGAGTTCCTTTTCCCCAGCCAAGAACGAGATGCCATCTTCCTAGAGAAGTTCCCCAGCAGGCTGGAACACTCACTGCTGAAAATGCCTCACTGTGGGACTCGGTCAAGTCTCTAACTGAGAATGTGACCCAGCTCAGTGAAGAAAATAAGGATATAATTGGCTGTTTTTGACTACTTTTGATTTTACCTCTATATTTCACCTTTAAAAACTATTTATCTTGCCTTGTTTGGTATCGCTCTTTTCACCACAACCTCACATGTCTGAATTTACTGTTATTTTTTTCATTTTGACATACTTAACACAACTGATGTAAAATCAGACAAAAAACATAAAATCAGTGTGTTGAGGAACCAGGGCACCCTGACGAGAAGGCATCAGTGGGCAAGAGATGAAAATAGGGTTGCTGTAATGCTAGTACGCAACCATGTAACCCTGGCGACGCCAGGTCAGGGGGGAAATATCATCACCCCCACCCAAGATTGGGTACCAAGCCCCAAGTGCGATAGGAGAAGGATCGTTGAGTGTGAGAGAAACTGACCTGAAAGATAGGATCATGGCCAAGTTTGAAACCTGGATCCCCCGTAGCCAGTTACCAAGACTACGTGAAGTACCCTCAGAAGGTCTGCTAGATGATGTTAATGCAGCACTACGGACAATACCTACAGCCACCATTACCGAGACTAACAAGTTGATCTACAAGTTGAACAGCCACAAGGGGCAGTACCCTTCATGGAGAAGGAGGCTAAAGGCTAACATCAAGGTAGCACTGAGGGAGGTTAGCGGAGTTGCAGAAAGGTGCGATGAAGAAGGTGCCTAAGAAGTACAGGAACCTGTCCATACCTGAGGCTTGGAAACTGCCAAGCAACGACTCACAGCCTGGGACAGCCACTTGAAGAGATTTTTGTTAGAAAAACTTGTGTCATGACAGTTTGAAGAACATGTGTTGCCTCTTTATAATATACAAACTGTACACTAGTGAGCAATGGTTTATAGGTTTAAATGTATAAAGGTCAAAGTTACAGTGAAACTACATGTTTCTGACCCTGAATTAATTTGCATCATCAGTCAGTGAAGCATTACTTCTCTACTTCTTCATCCCCTTTTTCCCAGGATGCACCTGCAAGAGTTCATTTATACTAAGTGTCAGCACTCAGTAACACTCTACATGTTTAAACTATTCTAATTAGGAAAAGCGAAGGCATCAAATGATTTTTCTCTTTAAATATACAATTTCACCTGTCCACACACATTTTATTTTCAATAATTATCCAAGCTTGACATATTTTTCTGTAAATATTCTCTACATTACATTTAATAAAGCTGATAAATTACATTATACATCCTGAGGGATGACTGAGAACCTTCACAGACATCCTGAGGTATTGATGAGTGAATTAAGGTCAGACTGTAGGGACGGTTATTGATATTGGTGCCAGAGGAGTTCATCATGTTGCAATATGTCAAAGGGACAATCGTCCAACAGATGACAGTTTCTTGTCAAAAATGCACTCGCCAGTCAAAATCTGATTTGACTCTCAGGATAAAGACAGGAGACTCAGATATTTGTTACTATAAAACAAGGGAACCATATTAAAAACATGCAACACAGTGATTTACTTAGTGACAAATACCTCTTTACTAAGCAATGGTCTATGAGAAATTTCTGCTGTTTACTTTGCTCTTCTTGTCTTTATTTCAGTGTAACTCCTCAACCTCAAGTGGATCAAGCTAAGCTATCAATTAAATGATTCCACTCAAGTCTATTATGACTTAGTAAAATAAGCAGGAGGACAGGCCAAATTAAATTTCAGTGTCAACCAGTTGGCCGGGCCTCTCCCATATCTACTGATTAGCCGTTCTTTTTGGTTCTGTAACTGCTCATGAAAATAAAACAACTTGGTGACAATATAAGCTGGGACTCTATTAGCTAATTTTTTTGTGTACATACTGTATGGACCCTGTGTTCAGTTGTTACCCATATGGAAAAGATATATATATATAAATCTTATGTTGTATCTGTCTTGTGTGAAACTTGTATGAAAAGCATACAAGAGTGAAAACAGATATAAGATCCCTTGAAAAAATATATAAATGAAACTTGTATGTTTTAGATACTTACTAAAACAATATATGAAAGTAATGAGAAAGTGGCCACTTTCATGACTAATCATATAAGCCTTATATGATTCACTATATGAAGTAGGCCACATCTTATGCACGTTTTTACTAGTTCTTTACCATATGGGTATGTATTTCTAAATAAAGTAATATTTTATAAAATCTTCTACTAACATTAACCATTCCACTTCATGAGTTCTGGCATTTTAGTGGTTTTGATTATGTAATAATGCCAATGATTAGTAGTAAGACATAGCACTTTGACTATTCTGTCTTGTAATTAGTGAAACATGAAAAAAAACATTAATATGTTTGTGCTACTTCATTTGATAACAACTCTTTATTTATATTATTGTTTTTTGTCTCCTCAAAGTTCATACATTTATACTGTGTCTTAATTTTAAATCTATTGCTCCATCTTTTGAGTATCAAGATGAATCCAAAGCCCTATTCCATTTTTTAGCTTCAGTTAAAAGAAGAATGTGCTTCCCAAACCCAGAAATATTTCATTTATTTTAAGGTGGTCAAACATAGGCGGTTGGCTAGGTACTGCTCTGTGCTTGTCCAAACATACTAACACACTAATCCATAATTTTAAAAAAGTAATTGTTATAGCATCAACAATACAGCTAAAGGACATTAACAAAGTAATATTAAAGCTCCTCCTCCTGTCAGTCTCTCTGAGTTTCAGTTATATATTAAATGGTTCACACTTCCTCTCTTCATCGTACTTAGACAGTGCAATCTCTTTTTAAGTGCATTCTCAGCTCATACTGTCAACATGCTGGTGACTCTCTGTGTTCTCATCACTGCTCTAACATGTATGAGACCTATTTATACTTCAGACTAATCTTAGTTTAGGTGCTGGATTCATATCTCAGTGTTCTTCATATGACTCCATGTGTTCTTGTTGTTTGCAGGTGTGAGTGGTGTGACGGTGGTGACACAGAAACCTGTTTTATCAGTAAGGAAAGGAGAGACAGCCACCATGGACTGTAACCTGGGGACTGTTACTGGTAGTGGTGCTCGGTGGTATAAACAGACTCCAGGAGGAGTTCCTCAGTTTGTGGTGGTCTTTCATCATAGCTGGAGTTCTCCAAACTATGGCTCTGGATTCTCTTCCCCAAAATTCACATGTACTCATCAGTCAACATCAGATTATCGTTTGATCATTAAAAATGTGGAGGAGGGAGACTCTGCAGTCTATTACTGTAAGACATGGGACAGCTCTGTTAATGAGTACACATCACAGTGATTTACACTATGACAAAAACCTCCTCACTAATACTTCTGCTTTTTGACACTCTTCTACATCCTGATAACTGAGAGATCAAGCAACTCAGTGTAAACCCACCAACTGCAGATAATGTGTTGCAGTTTTTCTCAAACAATTTTTGCTCATTTCTCAAAGCAGAAAAGTCTTAGCACTTCTCAATCAGTTCTAAAAAACAAGATAATGAATAAATGTAAAACTTTCACCACCCTATAAAGACAGAGTCATCAAAAAAATCCTCAAAACATTACTAACTTTGGAAACAGTTCTGCATTAATGCGGGTCTAATGTAGTGCAAACATTTTTCAGAAATAAAATATGAAGGAACTTTTGGAAACTTTACATAACTAATGTAATGGAGAAAAGTAAATTGATACTCATGAAACTCTATGCACCAGAAAGCAGGCAAAGAAAATATAAAAAAACTGAGAACGTGGCACCAACTAATGTATAGTCCAGTACAGTCACAGTACATAAATTCAACAACCACTTTATTAGGGACACCTGTTCCAGTGTTTATTATAGTGATCCAAATATCTAATATCTAGCAACTTGAAGCTAACAATGTACATATCTAGATATGGTCAAGACAGACTGCAGAAGTTCAAACCGATTATCAGAATAAAGAAGAAAGACAACTAAACGTGAGATGGTTATTGATGTTAGACAGGCTGCTGTGAGTATTTCAGACACGGTTGATGTACCAGGATTTTTTGTGCACAACCATCTCTAGGGTTTACAGGGATAGAGGACTCAAATTAGAAAATATCCAGCGAGCATCTGAAGCAGATGGGCTACAGCAACAGAAGGCCAAAATGAGAGCCACACCAACAGCTACAACAACTTTTTCAAGAATATTATTTTATGACAGACTTGAGCATGAATGATGAATATAAATCAGAAACATGTGAAACAAAGTGAACAACAATGTGAAACTGCTCATGAATCATTTAATCTATGAGTGAAAGTAGTTTTCTTGAATCTCCTCCTCTTTTAGTTTGCCTCTCCTCTTTATAAGCTCCAGCTCTCTTCTCCTACTCACATCTCTAAACAGTAAAGGTCATTTACACCTCACACTGACAACATGCTGTGGACCTTCTGCACTCTCATTACTGCTCTAACGTGTAAGATCTTCTTCTTATTCCATTTTTTAGTCCATATTTAGAGCTAAACTTTAAACTTCTGGGTTTGTTTTTGTGTTTCCTGGCAGATGTTGATGCAGTGATCATGTTGACCCAAACACCTGCTGTCCACACAGTTTCTCCAGATCAAGAAGTTGTTCTCAACTGCAACATAGAGAGATATGATGGGAATTATGTTAACTGGTATAAACAAGTTCCTGGAATGGTTCCTCAGTATGTTCTAAGTTTTCATTATTTTGGCAGCTCACCCAGCTTTGGAACAGGATTCTCCTCAGACAGATTCAACTCTAAATCCTCATCAAACATTGATTACCAGTTCATTATCAAGCGAGCAGAGACAGGAGACTCTGCAGTGTATTACTGTCAGACATGGGATGACTCTGCCAGTGCAGCTGTACCACAGTGACTTAGACAGTGACAAAAACCTCCTCATTAGTACTTCTGCTTTTTGAGAAACTTTCACATGCAAAAAAAGAAAAGACCCATAAAAAAAAAACCCTGTAATGTGTTATTAAACACTAAATCCTCCATTTTTAAATCCTTTTTAATCTTTATTATTAAAGGCATACAGAGGAAGGCACTCAAATATGTACATCTGATTTACTCACATCAGCCCGAACAGATCACATAAACCAAACTATCCAACATATAGTATTATATGTTGCTGCAAGCTATTTTTAATAACAGAAATTTTATAGACACTACTCACAGTTGTAACTGTCCAACATCAGTTTAACTTATCATTTAAAATAAAGTGTAATTAACATGCAGTTTAAAAAAAAATATAAAGCTATACTGAAGCTAGTTTAGAACTTCTAGACCATCTTCATTTACATTTAGTTTCAATTATTCAGAAACATATTTTTAAGGCAGAAGGAAAATATAGAAGGGTGAGGATAAGGACACTAGTGATAAATGTTTGATTCTTTTACAACCATTTTTAAGAACATGGTGTTATTTATTGTAGCTATTGTATTATTATGGTATATATTTTTCTATCATTTGTAAAAATGATGACGATCAAACTGACTGACATAATACTCATGGGAAGTTAATATACAGTATTTACTCAGTGTCTTTTCTGCACACTGCAATTCTGTCAAGAATACTTGAATGCATTTTAAGTATTTTACTTGTTTAAATGATATTTTTTCG